TGGCAAACTCGCGCTCTGATTGGTCGCGGTTTTTCGTTAATATCTCGTAAACGAAGCCTCAGTTTAAATTTTTGCTAAGGAAAAAGTTGTTCCAATTCACCCCCCGAGTGCCACATTTCCGGGTCGGAGGACATTTTTGGGACACCCTGTATATGTATACTGGGTTAATACCCGTTAAATTACTAAAAATAAATAAAAAAATTATTCGCGGTCGAATAAATTCCCTTCGAATAAAAAAATAATTTTTCGCGGGCGAATAATTTATGTACCCGTGGTGTTTTGAATAAAGATAAATTGAGTTATTCGAGGTTTCGAATTACGGATAGAGATAAATTATATTTTATTTGAGCCGTTATTTAAATGTCTTTTTATCTGGATAATGCCCATTTCTGACTGGGAGTTGAAGGGTTAAATAAGCATTATAGTAATTTTGTTACAGCCACGTGCTCACGAGACCGGCGGAAAATACGGAAACAGCGTGATAGTGAGGAAATACCGTACCGGTTCCGTGATACCGGTACGAGTCGAGCTGACGGCGAACCATCACGGTTATTTCGAGTTTCGAACGTGCTCGATGACCTACAAGGGCAAGGAAGTCACCCAGGAATGCCTAGACAAATATCTTCTGCGGTCGGAGAACGGATCGAATAGATATTATCCTGGACCGGGTAACAAAATTTTCGAGGCTTTCTACAAATTACCGGACGACCTGACTTGCGCTCAGTGCGTCTTTCAGTGGAGATACACAGCCGGGAACAATTGGGGCGACTGCGGAAATGGAACAGGTATTGTCCTTTATTGACTTACAGCATATTCGTGGAGTGCTTCTTCTAAGAAGTTAGAACGAGAGTACCTACGCTTAGTTCTGTTTTTACACCATTCCGATTTAAGGGGGGAGACTGCTTCGGCAGTGATGCCAAAATCGTGGAAGAACCGCTCGAGCGCTCACCCCCTCTATGCCTCGCATAAGTATTCCACACAAGCATATTCTACCCTTTCTGTGAACTCTGCCCCACTATGCTTACTCGGCGTCTCCCACGCAAGCATTCTCTACCTCTGCCTGTGTGCGCTGCCCGTTCGGGTCTTTCCGTCAACATGCGGTACGTCACTCGGCAACGTAAACAATGAAGATGCCTTGGAGACCCTCGTCAAATCTCAATTCTCACTGCGGCGAAAATTTACATTTTGACGCGACGCCCGGCAACCTAAGCGCGCAAGCGACAGTCAGGAGACCCCGATCTAATACCAATGCGGCTGTTTTACTTTTTATTTTCAAGTATTTTGTAATTTCACTTCATAACCTTTCAGTAAAATAAAAATTTGAAAAATATTGATTTGTAAGGCATTTAAAAAGAAGAAAATAAATGTTTTCCATTTCACTATTTTAATTCTTTTATGTATACCTACATGTTATATTGTATGTATATACATTATTTTTAGAATTAGATATTATCCTTACATGAGTAGGTACTCATTACTACTCCGAACATTCGTACAAAAATCTATTAGATTTAACTGTAATAGTTATGAATTTCTAAAAGCTGCTTCAACGGCAAGGTACTTTAAATTAGGTACAATCGTACGAGTCGTCGGATACGGTATTGTTTCATTATGTCAAAAGAAGTAATTACGAATTTCAGAGGTTTTGAAAGAAGCGATTTAGCCGCTTGCAAAAATAGTATACTGCAAATAATGATCCGCTATTGAACATGGAGATTATCTGATAATTTTTATTACTTGTCGAATTGAACACGTTAATATCCACTTTTGGGCGTAGATGAATAATAGTGTACGAGATATCAACAATTATAATTCACGTGTGTGTAACTTATCTAAAATTACGGGCTTCGATTGCAACTATCAGTGTGGTGCAAAGGTTAAGTGTCCGGATGTGAACTGTATATTGCATTTCTAGACGTGGGTTCGAATACCGGCGGGTTCAATTTTTTTTTCATTTACTATATTTTTGTACATTTTTACTTACCTCAATCATTATCGATATTATTTGCAATATAGATAATAAATTTTAAAAATGTTTGTATATTTAAATAGCTTAAGCTTAAAATATATTCATAACTATACAGGGTGGGGCAATAACTATGTCCATTTTGAGTATTGCCGTTATTTGTAATAATATGAAAAAATGTTATATACAAAACTTACACAGTATAGACGGGGGCATATTGTGACACAAACATTTTCTGCGTGGGTGAAGGCATAGAGGATATTTCAAGGCTATCTCTATTTTTTTTTAATGGAATGCTATGTTTTTTTTATCGCGATGCGATAGCCGGTGTTGAGACGACTTCAGCGGGCTAGCATTGAAGGTCATACAAGGTCAAATGTGGTAGTAAAATAAATTTTCTTACATAACTGGCGAACGATATGCACACTTTATACGAAGTAGATTGGGGACTTTATTAGAAAATGTACCACAAAACGTTCGCCAAATGATGTGGTTACAGTACGACGGTGTCCAGCACATTATGCTCGGAGAGTAAGAAATGCACTGAAAGAACTGTACCCAAATAAATGGATAGAACATGGCGGATTAGTTTCTTGGTCACCTCGTTCTCCAGATTTGACCCCATTAGATTTTTTTCTCTAGGGAGCATTGAAACCCACTACACCCACTATACCCACTATACCAGAAAATATGAAACAATGGATAATTGCAGCAGGTGCTAGAATAAATTCAGAAACGATAAGATATGTACGTGATGCAGCGATACAAAGATTGCAACTTTGCATTGACGCAAACGGTCACCACTTCGAGTATCTCCTGTAATGTAAGAAAGTTTATTTTACTGCCACATTTGACCGTGCATGACCTTCAATGATAGCTCGCTGAAGTCGTCTCTACATCGACTATCACATCGCGATAAAAAAAAACACAGCATTCCATTCACCCACGCAGAAAATGTTTGTGTCCCAATATGCCCCCCTCTATACCGTGTAAGTTTTGTATATAACATTTTTTCATATTGTTGTGACGTTTGAAGCCACGAAGCTGGCTTCGCGTTCTAACTGAAGATGCCTCCACCTCCGAGGATCGATTTGGGAATCGGTCAGTCGTTTCGCTGACAACCGCCAGTATTTAAAAAGAGAGTCTCTGATATGACATGAGAGAGAACAGAAGTACCATAATTAAGTTGTACATATTTATATATAATTAACATTGTACAGTTGTACAGTTGTAAATAAACGTTGTGTTGTGTTGTGTTCTATGTATAATAAAACTGTTATCTCGTGCGGCGGAACGCCACGGCTTAACAATATTATTACAAATAACCGCAATATTCAAAGTGGACATAGTTATTGCCCCAATCTGTATATAATATATATATATATATAAAAACACATAATTGAAATAGTAATTTTAATAACATAAGATAAAATATTAAGGTTGCTATGAATATATTTTGACACTAAACCTACAACGACCGGTCAAAATGGTCGGTTTTAGCGTACTAATTCCTACCTTCCTGAAGTGTTCGATAGGTTTAGTGTTAAGCTATTTAAATATAGAAACATTTTTAAAATTTATTATCTATATTACAAATAATATCGATAATGATTGAGTTAAGTAAAAATGTACAAAAATATAGTGATTGAATAAAAAGTTGGACCCGCGGTTATTCAAACCCACGTCTAAAAATACAATATACAGTTCACATCCGGACACTTAACCTCTGCGCCACACTGGTAGTTGCAATCGAAGCCCGTAATTTTAGATAAGTCACACACACGTGAATTATAATTGTTGATATCTCGTACACTATTAGTCATCTACGCCCAAAAGTGGATATAAACGTGTTCAACTCGACAAATAATAAAAATAATCAGATAATCTCCATGTTCACTAGCGGATCATTATTTGTAGTATACTACCTTTTCAAGCTGCTAAATCGCTTCTTTCAAAACCTCTGAAATTCGTAATTACTTCTTTTGATATAATGAAACAATACCGTATCCGGCGACGCGTATGATTGTACCTAATTTGAAGTCCCTTTCCGTTGAAGCAGCTTTTAGAAATACATTACTGTCGAAATTTCCGACAATAAAGAAATTTCCAAACTATTACAGTTAAATCTAATAGATTTTTGTACAAATGTTCAGAGTAGTAATGAATAGGGTTCTAAGGATAATAGCTAATTCTAAAAATAATTTATGTATACACAACATAACATGTATGTATACACAGGGCATTCGACTACTAGTGGGAAAAACTTTAAGGGGTGATTATTTGGAGCAAAATACGATGAAAATCAAGAATAACGAAATTGTGACAAATGCTTCGTTTGTTAGTTATAAGCGTTGAAAAATTGACCCAAATGATGGCAATCCGCACACACGAGTGTCAGCGGGGCAGGGTTCGTAAGGGGCGTACAGTCACTCTAAAGACTCAATGACGTATAGGAGAAGTAGGTAGAACAGCTATCTACTTACCCGGTAGACGGTGTCGATAACTTGTGCCCGCGGTATTTGAGTCGAATCCACTTGTATCGCATTAACTCTGATTATTCGATAAAATTCTCAAGAAATATAAATATCTTCTTACGAATATTATCCAATAGAGAGGATTAATACCCCCTCTGGTTGTCACATACAGCAATTGCCCTGTCCACAAGTATCCATGAAATTAATCCGCACATGCATGTACACCACAGAAGCTGCGAAAAGTGTCCACACACACTGCACGATCGTCCCGTCCGCGAAAAATGTTCGCACACTGCGCGATCATATATACTAATTAATTTATAACAACTATTTATACTAATGTTTAACCTGTAATAATTAATAAAACCTACAATATTTAATGAAATCTGCAATAATTAATAAAACCTACAATACTTAATGAAACCTGCAATAATTAATAAAATCTACAATATTTAATAAAACCTACAATAATGACTAAAACCTACAATAATTAATTTGCACTATTTATAACAACGACGTACGCTCTACTATTAAATGATCACTACGTAATCGCTAAATAAACTAAAACTTAGTTTTCCGAACGTGAACTCTATTTGATCGAAGAATGCAAAGGGCTCCGTTTGTATAGGACAACTGATATTGTAGAACTGATTGATTGAATATGCAACAAACAAGAAATAGAAAACAGAGAACACGTATTATGCAACTGCTCTATATATGCAGAAATTAGAACCAACTCACTAAAAAACAAAACCATAACAGAGATATTAAAAGTAAAAACAGAGAAGCAGGCATGGGAATTAGGAAACTTTATAAAAAATGGTACGAGACTAAGGGAAGGAAGAGGAACGATAAATATAAATTATTCTAATATTAGTAGAAAGCGCACATAATAGTAAATTAGATATACCTACGTATAAAACATTAAAAAGCGTGCAATAACAAAACTAAGATTGTAATCTACATAGATATATAAGATATATTAAGAAGCTTGCAACAACAAAAATTAAGATGTAATCTAGACATATGTATAGGATACATTAAGAAGCGTGCAATAACCAGAAAATTAAGATTGTAATGGACGTTAAGTTTTCATACAATAAATAATAATAATAATAATAATAATAATAAGTTCTCAGTATCAACTAGAGTTCCATAAGGCTCGTGTTAAAAAGAAATTTCTATAAAGTTTCTTTTTCAATAATTTTATCATTAATTTTGCGATTTTTTGGTAGCAATCAAAAGTTAAAGCATGTTCTGTTAAATTTTCAACTAAATTTATAATTATTAAACATTTCCGCGAGCCACCTTAAATGCTCTTTTTGCACGATTTGGTTTAATCTGT